TACTAAACGTAGCCACGGGGCTTAAGCGTGAGGTAAGCCCTCCATCAGCCTGCTCTGCCCCTCGGCAATCAATGTACATTGCTGTCACTAGTGTGTGGTGTGGGCCAAGCAGATAACTGAAACCCTAAATGCTGATGGAGAAAGGTGGGATGCCCTAAATGCTGATGGGAAAAGGTGGGATGCCCTAAATGCTGATGGAGAAAGGTTGAAGACCAAGGGTCTGATGGAGAAAGGTTGAAGACAAACGGTCTGTTGAGGGCTTGCCCTGATGAGACCAATAAAGCAAACAAAACCCCAAACCTGCCATTGAATCCAGTCTAACGCATAATGACCCCACAGCACAGAACTGTCCCTGTGTGTTCCCAAGGCTGTAAATCTTTATGGGAGCAGAACTCATCTGTCTCTGACTGCTGACTGTCTCGCAGCCTAACGGACAACCCACTACCTCACCAGGCTCCGTTCAGATGGAACGGGATGGGAGAGCAGGATACGGGTGATCGCTCACATCAGATCTAGCTTCTCCTAAATGACCAGGATCTGTGGTGTTGTGGTTGGTTTTTGTTTTTTAAATGTTTTTAAATTGTATTGTAGATGAATTTCCACAGAGCAACTCATAATTGTTTTGTTCAGCAACTCATCAAACATCCCAGGGTCTTGCCCCATTTCCACCATTGTTTGCCCACCTCCTCTAATAAGATGTTGCCTTCCCCTTCCCTTAAGCTAATGCCTCTGTACCCTTGAGCAGGCGCCAGGTGCTGCAGGGGTTAGGTGTTGGACTTCGATCCGCATAGTCAGCGGTGCTGAACCCATCAGCTGCACCATGGGAGAAAAACGGTGCTTTCCACACCTATAATCAGTTACAGTCTCAGAAACCCACAGGGTCAGTTCTAAGCCCTGTCCTGTAGGGGCGCCATGAGTTGGAACCGGCACGATGGCAGTGAGTTTGAGACCCTTTAACCTGTGACTTCCTCTTCCCTGCCACCTGCTCCTTGCCCACGACAAGGCATTTTTAATTTCAGGAGCCCTGGTGGCACAATAGCTAAATACTCAGCTGCCACCCGGAAGGTGGGCAGTTCAAACCTACCAGGGACTCCATGGGAGAGAAGGCCTGGTATTCTTTTCCTGGAAAGAGTCCAGCCTAGGCAATTCCACTCTGTCCTACAGGATCGTTCTTTTGCTAAGAACAAGGGTTTGTTGATCCTTAAAAAGCAAGGTGAGGAAGGTGAGCGTGAGGAATGACTGGTGCCCTTGGTGAGAGATGGGGGCTGCCCTGCACTCCTCGTCCAGATGGGCAGAGAGCCATGGGCTGGCCCTTGGAGTTCCGACATCAGCACCAGAGGGACTTTGTGTGAGCAGCTCCACGCCTAAAATGTGCAACGCTTGAGGGGCATAAAGGTGGTTTCAGACGATATTTTTCCTGTGCCGCATTTTTCGGGGGAGTCTCCTCGCTGCCTCCCAAGCTGCCCTCAGAGCAGCTCCTCATGTGGATCCGCCCATCTTCTGAGCCCAGACACCCACAGCCTGGCGGGGGTTCATGGGTTCTTCGTATTTTCACAGCATAAGCCTGCATTTACGACACCAGATGATGCTTTAGATACAGTGTTTACCTTCCATTCTTTACTTTCTGTCCAGTGTTATTGGCACATACTCCACACATCATCCAATCCAAGAGGTCAGTCATATCGAGAAGAATTGTACAGTCATGACTCCAATCGATTTTAGAAC